AAGATACTGGGACAGGAATATCCTACCCTAGAGATAACAAAAAGTTAGCTACTATTCTCCCAGTAGTATTTTTTTCATTGGCAACACAGCTGCCTGGGGAAACTCTCAGTACCTTTAGGTCTCATTCTGCCTAGGTGAAGGGAATTGCACAGGTGGGATGTATCCCAGATGTGGGATGGAAAGCTCCTTTATTGCCTTTTTTATTGTGCTGGTATAGAAGCTTTGGCTGGGAAGAACAGGAGTGCTACAGCCTCTCTGCTGCATGCAGCAGCATGCATTGGATCTACTGGGTGCTACTGATGCTACGTTTAGTACAAACACCAAAATGCTGCTGGTTTGGGCCAGGTGTCTTCCCAGACATGTTGGGAGTCAACCTCTAACGCCTGTGATTATTCACTGTGAGAATGTTAATTTCTCCTCCTTCAGATGGGATATTGCTGAAGTTTTACCTGCATGCTGTCCTTAGTGGGGTCAGGCTCTCCTGTCTGGAGCGATGAGGGCTGAGGCACTGAGGCACAGTGCCTCAGGCAGGAGGCACTCAAAGAAAAGGCCATAAGGGAATTCTGGTGACGTGACTGAAGGATGCAAGAGCCAAAATAATTCTCACTGTTTCCTCTCAGAGTGAGAATTGCTTTAGCTGATCAGCCCCTGTTATGGGAACCCTGGGATTTGGAAAGGAATAATAAAAGATTAATCGAGAAACTCCTGAATGAATTCAATAAAAATGACATATGGAGTGTGCACCGTGATATTTTTATGATTAGGCTGGCAGATAATTGGAACGAGCAGATTCTGCCCCACGCTTGATCAGGTCTGGTGTCTCAGAGATCCTTCTGGTTTCAGTGTTTCTTTACAATGGAAAAATTAGAGAGGAAAAGGGAATGAACGGAAAAGAAGGCAGACCAAATGCTTCTCTGCTCACCTTAGGAGGAAACTCTGAGAAAGTTACTGTTTAAAACACATTCCAGATTTCAGAATACAATCCTCTATGCTACACTTTTTCGCTTGATTCACACAACATCATTAAAACCCAGCTCTGGGATCAGGGTTCCTCTGAATTTTCAGCCTTTCTCTCCTTGCTTCCAACTGGCAACTGCGAGTAGTCAGGCCCAGCATAATGGTTAAAGAGCAAAATTTGACAACCCCCCAACATCCTCCCCAAACTCTACAGCAGCAGGTTGTTTCTCAAGAGCAGCATTTCCAAGCCAGGGCCCCAGCTCAGAGCTAAGCCCTCTCTTACACTGGGTGTTACAGCACATTTTGCTTGGACCTCTACAAAGGCTTTGCCAGGCACAGTGGCAGAGTGTACCCTCTGCTGCTCTTCTCTGACAGCCCTCTGTCCAGCTTTCCTTATCCCCCCTCTAACACAATGAGTTGGTTTTGACTCAGGGCCCATGATGACCTCCCTGCTCAGCCATGGTGGGCCAGCTCTGCATGCTGGCCAGTTCCTCTCTCTGGAGCCAGTCAGGTTTGAAGGTCAGAAGGGCTTCCTGCCTTCTTCCCTGTTAGTATCTGCAAAAGCACCTCTGTGTTCTGCCCTCAAATCCTGCCCATGGCAGCAAGGTTTGGGATGAAATAATCTCTAAGGGCCCTTTCAACCCAAACCATTCTGTGATTCTATGTTTCCATGAATGATCTCATTAACTCCTTCTTCCCCATCTGCCTCTAGCCAGCCACTCTCTTGCCTGATATGTAGATTTTCCTTTAGACAAAGACTGTATTTTTGTTCTCTGCTTGTTCATCACCAGGTGGAATGGGACCTTGATCCATGCTTGATGGATCAGAGAGTGATGCAGCTTTTGTGATAATAAGTGATAATAAAAATTATTGACTGGTTCACAGCATGAGACTGTGGTGAAGTGCTAGAGGTTATATTATACCTTCTATCTCAGAAAGAAAAAGAGAGAGGGGAACATAGGCAAGGACATGTGGATTTAGTTTATCTTTCTTTTGGTTTTTTTTTAATTCAGAAGTGGATGGAGTACTTCAGGTGTGTTATGGAGCTCTAAAAATACATACACTCTTTTTACCCTTTTGTATTAATATCCTGCTACCTTTCCTTTAAGGCCATGTCTTAGGTAATCCTTCTCAGGAAAAGTTCTCTGGAAGATCTCATTTCACCCATTTGGGATTCCTAGGTACTGTGCCTTGCTTTTTGCTACATACAGAGCCAGCCCCTGGATGACGTGTCCATGTTGGAGCCAGGGACATGATTTCAGGATGAATAGAATAAGCATCCTCTCTGAATTAAAGTTGCGGTAAACTTCATGAAGTGTGCCAACACATTATTTATACAGCTTCTCAGATGAGCTTATACAGGCCTGTTTTAGCTTTACTGCTACCCACAGCAGCAGCATGTGAGGTCAAGCTGCCTCATGTATGTCCACGCTTCCTGCAATTTACCCTGTGATATAATTGCAGTGAAGATGTTGCCCATGAAAAAGGCCAGAGGAGACTTTACTAAGGCTTTTATCTTCCAGTTCTTCCATAGCATGAGTTTTCCCATGAAAATGAATCTCTGAGGGAAAACGCCATTTTCATTACTATTGTAAATAAAATACAGCAACTTTTGACAGCTTTAAAATGTTAGACTCTGAACAGAATGTTTTGGCTTGGATTGGTTCAAACATTTGCAGTTGCTGAAATGAATCAAAGCACTTTGCTGTACATTTCTTTGAAATCAGGTGGTGCCTGCCCACGGGGTTGCGGTGCCTCATGGGAGCTGTAGTTTGGATGCATTTTACCTGTGGCTCTCATGGATGTATCTGCTTGTCTGAGACACATTTCCAATAATATGCTGCAGATCCACACTGAGCAGGCTGAATAGTGATAAGTGAAAACCAGAGAGCAGACAGGTATTGTGACAGATCAGGTCCAGCACAGGCAGAAAAAAGGCTGTGAATCACTCACTGTAACATCTCCAGATGAAATGTTTGGTTTCGAGGAATGCCAAAGGATATTTTTTGGATTGGAGAAGTGGAAAAATGACTGTATTTTCAGTTCTGGGTTTGATATTTTTGTGTTTGTTTGTTTGCTTTTCTCTTTGGTTTTTTTTTAAAAAATTGTTACTTTGGAAAAGTATGTGTTAATTAAGCTTTTCATTCTGACAAATTAGGATGTTTCCCATGGGCTGAGCCACCCAGGTCTATTCTTACCTAACATAAGATTTCAGTCTCACAGCAGGTGTAATGAGATTGATTCAGTCTCAGCCACTCCAGAAGTGGAGTTAACCCAATGATTAGTGACACAATAAATGAATTTTACCCTTGTTGCATGAAAAGATGTGTTTCTTTGTAATTTTATTTTATTAACAAAATGAAGGGCAAAAGGCATTTTACTTTGAATAAAATGTCTTAGGGGGAGAAACCCCACTCTTTCTCACCTTCTGTCTTTAGTGCTGCCACCTCAAGATCGGTTCATCAACCGTTAAACAACAAAGCACAGCACACACAATGAAAACTTGTGCCTTCCCCAGGTGGCATTGCAGGAGAGGCTTCAAGAGAGATGAATGTGGAATTTGCCCGGAATGTGTAGGCCAAAATCTAGGGAGGGAAAGCAAGCCAGGACATCATAAAGGACGGCAGATGATCAAAGCCTAAATTATGTTTTTCATCAAGTGAGATACTTTTCCTGGGATCCCTTAGACACGGTTGCACATGGGGCACCTCTGTGCATACTGAGTGGGGCTGCTCTCAGCCTGTGATTAGAATGCACCTATTTAATCCTCTGAAGCTGCTGGATTAGGGTATGGGCACTCTGATTTATTTTGTCTGTTTGGGCTGTGTACACACTGTGTAAAGGAATTTGGATCTAATCTTTGCCATCATTATAATTAATTATATGCTATTCTCCAGCATGTAATGGTGGCGATAGAACTCTTACATGGATCTGAGTTTTTCTCACATACTCTGCCGCAAGAATAGATCTGCTGGGAAGATATTTCTTAATTAATTGTTTATTTCATCAAAACACCATGCTGGGCCAAGTTCAGACCTAGTGTTATACTGTTGATTTTAGCTGCCTGGCACCCAATGAAGGATTTAGCCCTGAAGTTTTTCTCCCTTTCATTTACCTTCTAATGTTTTTTTTGACTGTGCTTCAACTGGCAGCTAAATATGCATTTGTCCACGTGGTCAAGTGGCAATCATGAAAGGGAGGCCATCAGACAGCTATGTTAGGCTATTAGTTCTGCTGTGTTATTCTTCTTTGAACAGAGCTTCAGAGAGAAAGAGGGATGGAGGAATAGAAAGAACTCTCGAAGACAAAGAACACCAAGTGGATGAAGAAGCTGAACCCCTTCAAAGAGAGGGGTGAGTTCCTAAGAGTAGGCAGGCCCTGCCCAGTGAGGTTTGTGACTCCTGGTAGCAGTCTGGTATGCAGGTATTCCTATGCCTACAACTGATTTGCATCTGGCTGGGCAACTGTCCCATTTCTCTGTGCCTCCATGAGTTGTGGGCAGGAATACCTGCGGGCGTAGATTAATTGTTCAATGATGTGTGTGGATGTTTATTACTGAGTCTGTGTGGAAACCTATTTGAAGCAGGTTTATATTTGTGCTGCTGTATGAATCAATCACTATAGATAAATTTGTTGGGATTTGGAACACGTGCATGTTCCTGAGAGCATGAGATGGTGTATGAAGTCTGTCACTCAGAGTGTGGGTACCTTGTATTGTGTGTCTGGCTGCAGACATGCACGCCTGGAATTGTCTGGGCCTGTGCAAATGACTGCATGCTCACAGGAGCTTTTATTCATATTTGAGTTTCTGGTAACAAAACACAGCTGTCTGTGAAAGTCTGAGCTTTGACTGCCTCCATTTAGGGTGTCCTTTGGAGTGTTTCCAGTCCCTTGTGTGCAGGTGTGCCACAGAGAGTACCTTTGCTGTGTACATGTGATGGACATGTTGTGTTCCATACTCTTGTGACCACACAATGTACTCTCTGCCTGGATGTGTGGAGGAGACTATCCTTACTCTCCATAGCAACCAAACTCTAAATTCCTTTTCCTTCCTCATCCTCTTCCTGTTTTCCGTGGTTCACATACTAACAGCTTGTAGCTACATCTCTTTAGCTAGGGAATCTCTTGCAGCTATAGGGAATTTCTTCCAAGCATTTTCTTTGAAGCATGTAAACCTTTGTCGTAGACTGGCAGAAGAGCATGGTGTACATGTCAGCAGGTGGATTTAGTTAATCTCTGAGTGGACATCTGTGGACACAAGGTACCAGCTCTCAGAGGAACTGAAATGGGCACCACTGGCCACTTCATGCCTGTGTAGCTGTGAGGCATTTGAATAGAGGTGGTAACCTGGGCCAGCTATTGTCCATCTTCATTAGGGAAGTTGACTTAGACATCAGTGGATTTAGGCTAAGACTTCAACAGACTTAGGCTAGATTTTACCCCAGTAGTTGTATCTTTTCTGCCTCTGCTCCAGAGCATGCTGTAAAGACAGGTTTTTTAATGATGAGTCTCACACGACTGTATTCTCCATGCAAATTTTGCATTGGCCAAGGGTGGCAGTACTGGCACTTTTATTATGAAGCTCTAGCTGAGGGAGAACTGCATCTTCCAAGAAAGGGCAGCACAATTACCTGTTTCTACAAAGAAAGCAGAGAGAGGGGAAAAAAAGTAAAGAAAAGAAAGAAAGAAAAAGAAAAGGAAAGACACAGAAGTCTCATTCCTTTATGCTCTGGGTTCTTTGTAGTTTTCTTTGTAAAGGTCATAGTTATCTCAAGGAATGGGAAATTCTCAGAATCCTTTAAACTCTAGTCCTTTTACTTCTTAAAGTGGCCTAATTCCAGAGAGCTTAAGGTCTAACAAGGGATTTGATCCTACCTCTCTCTCTCTCTTTCTCTCTCACAGCAGGTTTGATGGCACTCAGATTGCTCATTTGTATTTTCTTTTGTGAGGCAAAGCGCTTTGGTTTCTCTTCCAGCTGTCATATGTGTGTTCTTTCCTCTGCCTGTCTGGAAGGCAACATTCCTAGGTAACTGGCAGGAGAAATCTTTTCACTTTAATTATAAGAATAGACTTCAGAAAAAGACACTGAGTTAACCTTTGTTTGAACATACCTGAGATGTGAAGGTCTGATGTCTGAGGGTGCTGACCAATGTCTCTTACTGTAGGAGCTGCTGCTGCTCTTCTCCCCATCATAGCCATAGCTTTCTTGGTAGGGCTTTACTGTGCTTCAGCAGGGGCTGATAGTTTCATTCTGCCCATGTGGTTTATGCATTCCTCCAGTAAAATGCACAGCTTCGTAGAACTCACCTTTGCCTTTCCATCGATCGTTTGCGTACATGTAGCTGATGTGTTTGTTTGCCTATGGTCATAGCAAATGTACAGAGATGTTTGAGTTCCTTGGGCCTTTCCTAAATACTGGGGAAGAGACAGAATGAAAAATGCTTTTATGCTTATTTTTACACTGGGTCAGTCCCCAGAGCCATGAGAAGGTTCAACCTGACAAGTGGAGATAACCCCTTAACAAGAACTAGTTTGAGGAGTGGCAGGGTCTGAGGTGGGGAGAACATGAAAAAGCCAAAATTGTGGATATGCTTAGTTCAAGTCTGACAAAGAGTTATAGCAAAAAATCCAAATGACCAAACCCCCCAAAAACCCAGAGGGAAAAGAGCTAAGAATTATTGTAAATGTCAAAACATCTTGGATTTGATTGAAGTATTTCATTTTTGAAATACTCAAATATTTAATTTTGACATTCTTTTCATAGAAATATCTTTGTTTTGTGAAATGGCATTAACACTAATCTACATTAAAAATAAAAGATTAGGCAGCAGTTTGAATAACTCAGAGAAGAAAAAAACATTGTGTTTGAATTGACCCAGTTTGGGTTTGGCCAAAGATGAAATGGTTGTGGTTTACTTTTATTTTGCTGGAAACCTTTACACAGTTTTCTTTCTTTTTAAATCCAAACTGTTATTTTTTTTCTCACTGCGTTTTTCATTGAGGCACTGCAAAAACCAAGAAAAATTCTTCTTTGGTCCATTTAACCTCTGGCTACTGTAGCTGCTCCTCATTCAAGCAGGAAGAGATGGGCAAACCAGAGTATCCTAAAGGTGTCAGACTTGAGCAATACTAGCTCCCAGGTCCAAATCCCCTTGGCTCATTCCTGATGTATGTATGTCCCTGATGATGTAGGGCCTATTAAGAAAAGACCATATCCTCAAGACATTCTTTCCTTAAGTGACACACTCTCTCCAGTATTTTTATAGGACAGCACTAATTTTTCATAACGAGACACAGTAGGCTACAGCCCTTTAATAGGCTTGTCAAGTCTCATGTATTCAGGATGAAATGAGCTCATTTGGCTTCTGTCTCTCACACCCCTGTTGTGGTGTAGCTGAGATGCAGATGTGCACTGCCCTGCCCCTTTGCTGCTCCAGGAGGACGTGCCCAAATGCTGCCAGGAGGTCTGGTGCTGTCAGGAAACCAAGGAGCACACATGGCTGCTGCGGTTCCGCAAATAACACAGTCTGAGCACTGGTTGCTGCAGGATCCAACATCCCTTGTCCATGTCACCCATTGTCCCTTGCTGTGTCACCTGTTTTGTGCATGTTTGTGAGAGCCCTGTCTCCTGGCTCAGAACATGGATAGGAGGGGATAGCCTCCCAGGGGAGGGTCCTTAGCCTGGGAATTTGCTCTGCTTTTTCCAGTGAGAGAGAGGATCCACTGCCATTCCTTTGTCTTAAGGATGGTCTGTCCAGAAGTGCCTGTTCCCATCACCTCTCTTTCTTGAGGCAAGACCTTTCCAGCACAGCCTGCTGGGGCATCCCCAGCTCAGGATTTACAAGAAGAATTTGAGTGGGGCTTTCCAGCTTACCTCCTCTGATGGGGAGAACTTGATCTTACCAGCAACAAGGGCTCAATGGCAGCTCGTCTGTGAGGCCTCCTTAACCTGAAGACTTGAATCTAACAACTTTCTGGTGGGCACATTACTTGGAGTAAAATTTCAAGGCCAGTGCTGGGAATGGAAGGTTTGCAGGCTCGGGTGTGTCACTGCACCAAGTAGCTGAGGGTGGCAGCTCTGTGGCTGGGAAACTGGCTGCTCCTCTGATGCTGAGAGGCTTTATTGTGACAAAATCCCACAGCTCTTGGAAGGAATAATACTGAACAAAAAGAGATTTCTAGTATGTCACCAACATTCTGCAGACTGCCCTGAGTGTGGCATTCCTCAGCAGAGCCTGTGACACCTACCATTTGTAATTCACAGCAGCAATAATCCTGAGACACTCAAGCTTGTGCAGGCAAGAGGTGGGCAAAGTAAGCTTGTCTTTCCCAGCTCTGCTGGGATTTTTGGTGCATGCCTTTTGGTCACTTCATCTTTGGCAGGAATAGTGAGAGATACTCATCTAACACCATAGTGTATTCTGAGGAAGACGGAAGGGGCTGAGAGAAGATAAAAATGGGTTTGGTTATGGCTTGAGCCTGCTAAGTTGTCCTCTTTTTTGGCTTTCCCTTGTGTGCTGGTAATCAGTCTTCTGCCACCTATCCCTGCTTTCTTTCACCTTATCCCACGTGCTACCTCTGTGTGTGTGGTGAGGGATATGTGTGCAGTGTTGTCTGTGCTGGTGGTACCCCTGCAGCTGGTCTGGTGTGAATGCCAGTCAAAAAAGTCCCCCTCCAACAGCTGGCACTGCCAAAGAGCTTGCTTGCCTTATTAACAGTCCACTTATTTGGAATCTGCTCGCTGAGCAGAAACTGCTCCATAAATCCTCTTGCAATTTGCATTCCTCATCACTGTCACTCATTATCACTGACCTCACTTCTTCTGCCGGAGCTGATCAGCCTCCCACCGTCCTGCCTGCGAGACGCTTCTCCATTACCACAAGCTATTAGCAGCGGCAGGGCCTCGGTGAGAGAACGCCCTGCTGCTGAGTCAGGAAACATTCCCAAGCCAGCTCCTGTGTCCCCGCTCCTTCCCCAGGCTCTGCTGCTCTCCCTTGTGTGTTCCAAGGCCAGGCTGCACATCTGCACATCTGCACATCTGCACATCTGCACATCTGCACATCTGCACATGCCGGCGAGCTCAGCGGGGTCACTGCTGGACTCGCACTCCTGCATGCTCCGGTGGGAAATGAGGTGCAGCGGCTCGAAGCGTCTGAAACCACGAGTGCTTGCTGAGCAGCCGTGGGGTTTCTCAAATGGCAGCTCACCCAATTCCACCTTAATATCTGACTCCTCACTCCGTGGGAGCCATGTTTGCTGCTTCCCTCCTCAGGAGCTGAGACGCAAAAACTTACAGACATCTCATAGTCATAAGCTGAGGAAATGCTTGAGGAGACTGAGGCAGCCGGTGCTCACCCAACTCTGACACAAGTGGTTATTATGCAGGGCTTGTGATGGGTAGGTCAGGGACAAAGAGAGCAAGAATTCATGTCCGTGCTCTCCTTCATGAGTTCCAGGGCAGCTGGAAGTGTGAGGGCTCACACTGCCTCCTACTTCTTTGCAAAGACATGTCAGCAGCAGCTGAGTGTTCAGCTTCCAGGCAGGGGAGGCAAAGTCAGGGACATGCTCCAGTCCTGCTCAGTGCTGCAGTGAAGGGTGAAAAAGGGACTTAGGTTGTACTTTGAACCTGTTACCCTTCTGTATCATGTTGCAAAACATGATGCATGATACAAAACAGCAAAACACCACACCAGATATTTCCCAGAGACTCCAAATACTCATACAATAATCTTGTGGTCGTCCTGTTATGTAGCCATGTAAGACTCTTGTTTTTCAGTTCATCCAGGGTTGAAATCATAGAGATGACTGAGAGAGACACTGGCAGAATAGCTGGAGGTATGCACTGACTTGAGTGCTTCAGTTCAGAGCAAGCTGGAGAAAAAGACCTGGCTGTTTTGTTTAAATCCACATTTTTTAAATCCAATTTTGTTGTGATTCCTGGATTTAGACAAGTTTCAGAAACTGGAACATGATTTTCAGGTGAGTTTTCTGGTCTCTGATTTCCTGTTGAGGTTCAAATGCATTGTGAGCAATATGGAAATAGCTCATATTGCTGCAAGTTGGTGAATGAGCATTCATTCTGAAATGTGAGGAAGGGTTGTATTTTAGTGGGAATGGAGGAAGGGGTGTGGGCAGAGAAAAAGCCTCCTAGTATTCCCTAAGCTCTTTTCCCTTTGGCCCAGGCAAGCAAAGCCTTTCTTTGCAGGGGGAGAAACATGTTTACTTAGTATAGCAGAGGGACTAAGATGCAACCTCATTAAAGTACAGCTCACGTATAGCCAGGGGTTTCATATATAGCTTTTTTTTTTTTTTTAACCTTCTCTGTCTTGATGGAAACAAAAGGAGGAGATGAGGAAAAAAAAAGGAGAAAGAAAAGGAAGGAAGTGAATTGCTTAATGGAGGTGCTCTGCCTGCATATTTAATACCCTAGTTTTATTGAATAGAAGGTGAAAAAGTGCACCTTGTTTGTTGCTTGCCTGTCAACCCATGGCAAGAAGGCATCCTTTCCCCTGGCTGGTGCCTTTTATTAGTCAATGGTTTCCAGAGTGTAATTATACCGTAGATCTGAGATGCATTATACACACAATTACAATTCCCCAGCCGAGCCTGTTATTTATTAACCAGGGAAATATTTGTTCAGTTGTTTTGGAGGGCTAAGGTTTTCTTTTGCTTCTTTCTTTTTTGCCTGACCCCTTTAAACTGTAACACGGATCCTTGGAAAAGGTCTGTGCTTTGTGTCTCAGTGAGGGTAGGGTGAATGTCCCATTCTGTTAGCGCACCATGTCACCTAAAAGCCTTGGCAAGAGAAGCTGCAGTCTGGGACTGAATTTGCAGGGGCAGAGCGAAAGGCACTGAAAGATCTTATGGAAATTTTTCTTTGCTGGGTTCCTGGTTTGCTTTCATGCAAGGGAGGTGACCTCTGGGCTTTGCAGGGCCCCTACTGGGGGGACTGCTTCTGGCTAAAATCCTAGCACAGCTTCGCCAAAATCTGTTCCCTCCTGTGCATCTGTGTAGGTCAAAATCCACTATTTATGTTCAAGTCAGCTTTGCCATAGCAGAAAATGCACCCAAAGCCTGTTTTGACTTCCTGTTCATTGGGACTACTTAAGAGGATCCTTTATTAAACAGAAACTACAGCTTGGCCTAGCACTAGAAAACTGGGTTCTAGGAGTCCTTTAGGGTAAACAGCATCTCCTTCTGGATTTTGTGTGCTACTGTGGCCATTGAGAAAATACAGCTTCTTTAACTTGCATTGGCAAGAACACAAAGGGCAAAGGAGAATGACAAAAAAAGGTAAAGACAGGGTTGCTGGTTTAACCAAGCATTTTAGGACCACAGACCACAACATTACTGGCCACAAGTTGTTTAAATCAAGAGTCCACCTTGCACTGTCTTGTCCTGTCTCTGAAAGCAGCTGGTAGCAGCAGAGTAGGCAAGGATAAAAGCTTTGCAGCCACTTTCCCTTCAGAAATATGTTTCCTGAAATGTAGTGAGCTCTGTTAAAAATGCATCCCATCCATCTATCATCCTAGGTGCTGTCCTGCTGGGATTTTTCCATTTCCACAATATCCTCACTTTAATAAGGTGACCAGAACAGGGCGAGAATCATTTCCTTGTTATTAATTATTACCATGACTGCTGTACAGCAGTGTGCTCAAGGGTGTAGAGCTATAATCCCCAAGAACCTCCTCCTGAAGGGCATTTTATCTTCCCTAACACTCCTAAACACTGGTCTGTCAGACCTGGCCCCCCAGCTTTCCTCTCAAGCTGTTCTTCAGCCCTTCTCCCCTTGACCCTGCATAACCAGCAGGTCCTCCTGGCGTGTGCCTTATCCCTTCCTCAGACTCTGCCTGTTTGGGAACATCCTTCCAATATAACTACGGAGGTAGATTTAAACTGATGAAAGTTTACAGGCGTAAGCCTTGCACAGGGTGCAATTTTTTTTGGCTGTTAGGGGAGCCTATTTCATCAGCTGTTGTTATTTGGGAAAATATTTGCAATACCCCAGCCCTCTGTCCCTAAGACCTCTTTTCTCATGTGGGGATAATGGTGCTCATGCTGGGATTCGTTCTGCTAAACTGTATCTGCATCCCCACTGATGTGACTGCTGGAACTTACCCTTGAAAGCAAGACCTCGGATGACACTTTGGGCATTTGTTTCAATGTGGGTAGCGAAATGTTCCGGGCAGCTCTGGTGTTCAGTGATTGGCAGCTTTACTGCTACTACAGCTACCCCCTGGTGCCTACCCCACTCTTGTGTTGGGTGTATCTTACTCTGTAACCAAGAAACGGAGACAAGGCCTATTTGGTGTCTGCCCACTGCAGCTGACAGCCCAAAAAACCAACAGAAGCTGCTGGTGAGGGTGGCTTTGGGCTACTGCTGAGTAGGGCAGCAGCTAAAGGCCAGGAAAGTTCTTGTGCCAGCAGCTATGGCAAGCAGACTGACAGGAGCAGGCAGCCAGGGACAGGTGACTTCTGAGACCAGCACAGCTGCTTGCTTATGTGCACGTGAGCCAGGTTCCCACGGCACTTTCTGTTCTTCACCTGCAGACATCCCAGCAGAATTTTCTCCTGGCAAGGAAAGAGAGCAGCTAACCTGAAAGAAAGGCTTAGGAGAACCAAAGCAGCTGTTGTTTTGAGATGAGTAAGGAGCTGGGATCCAGTCTTAGTTTGCACTTTCTGCAAGTGGCTCCATCTTTACAAGCCTTTTATGCCTATGAAGCTACGCTGAATTAAGAGCCTAACTTCTTTTTTTCCTAACAAAGACATGGTCCACTTGGGGTTGGAATTTGTTTGTTTCCATTTCCACTGAAGATATGCTTGAAAGGGAAGCAAGAGGAGACCCTGCTACTTGGAAACAGCGTCTGTATTTTACTCCCTTTCATTAAGTGAAATGCAATGTCCATAAACTACATTGTGCACAAAGGTGCCTTTCTCACCTTGATGCATAGCAGAGCACAGCGTTGATGACAGCCCTCACATCTATTGGTTTTCTCTGCCAGGCTAAATCCAGTAGCAAAAAATGATAGAAATAACTTTTAAAGGTCTTCGTTTCGAGTCCCAATACCCGCCCAATGTCTGAAAGATTGTAAAGATGAGATACTGGGTGAAAAGTGATGTGTGCACAGCATATGTGATTTAAGATAGTGAAACCCAAAGAAATATAAGAAAAACAGGTCTGAATTTCAATGGGCATCTTTAAATGTCTACTTTCTAACAGTTTCTAAATCTTCAGCTGAAGCCATTATTTAACAAATCCATTTTTCCCTGATGCCAAATTTGAAAATTGAATTCAGTAATTATACATCAGCCAGTGTAAATCTCCAAATATAACCTTATCTATGGAGAAATTCTGATGTCTGTATACTAGACCCCACAAAACCTTAGGACTGGAATTAAGATTTAGGACTAAAATTAAGACTGCTAGAAAGTACATTCCCCTAGACATAAAGAAGGAGGAAAGAACTGATTAAATTAGTAAATATTTAGGTTTTCATTTTATTTTGTCAGTCTCTGTCACTTTCTGTCTGTCACCTGCAGCAGACACAGCTCATATCTCAGCTGAACACACAAATAGTGCTTGTTCATTTTGGAAATGTTTATTTGTTAGGCATCCATTTGTTTGCATGAGTTATATGGCTTCCATCAATTACACTGTACGTGGTTCATTATGTGAGATCATTTTGCAGTAGCATAAGAGCATGAACTGTATGTGATTCCTAATAGTGGCTGGGGATATGTTGCCACTACTATTCAGAGAAAATAATGGCAGCAGGGAAACCTGCACCATTATTGTTTTTGTAATTGTTGGTTTACATGATAACAGTTCGAGTGTAGAAATTACAAAAAGTAATAGGATATTTTAGGGCTGGAGCCTCAGTTTTAGATCAGAGTCTGCATTTTGCAGGCTATAATGCAGAGTTTTCCAAGGATGGGGACTATGGTTTTCATGGAAGACAT